TTCCTCTAAATGGATCAGTGGAAACAGAGATGCAGGTGGAAGGGGAGTCGGAGGAGTTACCTCACCAGATCTAGAAGGGGAGGTTGGTGGCGTGTAGATCGGGAGGTCGACGACGGGCTCCGGGGAAGGATGAGGCGCCGCTGCCGCCGGCTTTAGGGGAGGTGAACGAGGGGCGCCGCCGTGGGCTCGCTGGGAGGACGACGAGGGCCGTGGATGCTCGATTCGGTGGTTGGAGCGCCGCCGCCGGCTTGAGGGGAGGCAGATGGGCGGCGTCACCGCCGGAGGGCACGCCGGACCACCGCCGGAGGGCGCGCCAAAACCCTAGCGTAACAGGCGTCGGGCAGGAACCAGAGGAGGCGCGGGTGGGGAGCGAGAGTGACAGAGGCGTCGGTGGGAAAGAAAAACGAAGGGGTACGCTCATAACCGGTGGCATTGCGGGTAATTTTTGCGAACCGTTCGCCCTCATAGTCGGAAAAAGCACGTCTCGGGTGGCTGTGGAGAATGAACTACAGAAAAGTCGCTTTTGTGAAGTACAACCGGAAGAAGCTCGTTCCTTTGGTTTAGCTTTTGACTTTTCTCGAAAGCAAAAGCAGTTTCACAGCTTAACCAAAGGGACCCTTCATCTTTATCCCTCAACCAAACAACTAGCAGGGACCATCCTATTAAAAAATGCTAGAATGAATCCATCTCGTCCTTCTCATTTTAAAACAAAAGACAACCTCAGAGTAAGAGCGAGTTCATGGAACAGAAAACGAGGACGGGGATGGTTCTCCATTTCCATCACCGCAAACCTGACGGGGACTAGTTTTCCCGTTTCAATTCCCATGTGAATTAGATTAGTCTCATCTTCGTTCAGTAACAGAGAATTATCTCCATGAGGAATTAGAGATTGGGACCTTGCCATCTCTAGCCGAGTGCCAACGCCCAACAGAGCATGGCTGGTGGCTGCCGACGCGCCGTCGAGGCCGAGGCAGAATCATTAAGCTAGCAGGCCACCACGCAAGTACACGTCCGCAGTCGCAGCAGCGACCGAGCGTGTCCGGCCACTGTTGCCAGTTGGAACAAAGGCCCACCCGGCACTGTAGAGCAACCTAATGATTGCCGAATTGGCAAATCCACCCTATAGGCCTATTGCTGAAAAGAGGACGGCCGACAGTGCGCGCCACTGCTAGAGCTGGAGCTGGACGCTTGATCGAGAGCGCCTGTTTTTGTAGGCCTACGCGCGCAGGATTGGGCCCTGCACGACGGGATGCAAGGGCTTATTCGAAAGCCCAAAAAGACAGCGAGGTTGTTGGTAGTAGTTGCTCAAGAAATGTGGTGCTGTTCTGAGTACTTCTTCTGTTGGTCGTTGGTTTTGCTACTCACCTGCCTTTTCGAGCATGACATCTTGGTCAAACACGGAGCAGGTTGTTTCCAGAATCCAAGATCCTCTTCTTGGCTGTCCAACCATTTCCGTAAGAAACTGGTCCAGATGTCCGATGTATCAAGCTGTCGCATGCATGCACACGAGATCCCGAAAGGTTCTCGCTTCGGGTCGGATCTTCCATGGATTCATTAACTGTTCAAACTTTTTTTTCTCGACATTACTCACGCCGCAAGTAAACTTCTGACGACTGCATCGACACTTGACAGCACGATAGAGATGCAGATAGACAGTCCACTGCTGCATCAGTCTTCTTCAACAAGACGGGCTACATACGCAGACGGCTGCACTGACAGCAGCGCAGAAATGGAAATGGAAATGGAAACGCACGTGATGCCGATTGCCGAACGATCCAAGGTGCTGCTCTCCGTTTCAGTTTGACGATCACTGCGTCAATCTTCTCAACAACTTCAGAAGAACTGAATGTATAGCAGCTTAATTAATTATGGGAAGACCAGTAATCAGCAGAGAAATGGATGGAAACGCACGTGATGCAGATCCAAGGTGCTGCTGTTTGCCTTTGACGATAGATCACCTTGTCAATCTTCTCAACTACTTCACAAGAGCTGCATATATACCAGCTTCATTACGGGAAGACCAGTAATTAATCTTGGTGTTGGTAAACCAAACAACTAAGCTTTGTTTGCATGTAGTCGGATTCGTATCAATCCACATGTGTTGAGATGGATTGGAGTTGAACTTGAACTAAATTTAACCCCAATCCACTCTAACATATATTGATTGAGGTAAATCTGGCAATATCCAGCCTAAATCCATCTCTTCATCGTGCTCGTTATTGGTACCTCTTCCGTAGCACGTGTTGTTCTTATTCATTGCCGATATACGCATGGGACTGTTCTTTGCTATGGATATATACATACACTAGTTGCCCCCCGCGCTTCGCTGCGGTGTATGGGTATTAGGCAAGTAAAAAGTGCATTGAAATCTTGAAGTGGCACATTCTTTTTGTAGGGATGTGGAAATTTTCGAGTGACCAATGAAAGGTGTAGTTCAAAGAAAATTGAGAGAAAACAGGACTCATTTTCCGGATACTATTGCATGCTACCTTTTCCGTATTGGAATTATCATATGATGAATCGATGAATTTAGGATAACAGATTACGACAATACAATTTCCTGCACTAAAATAAACTGTCTGAAACAAAAATCTAATAACAGAACTATACAGACTCACAACCGGAAGTTAGCATATGGAATGAAAGTAAACTGCATAGAACATAATAGCTTGTAGAGGCCAAAATAATGAGGTCAATAGCAATTGCAGAGGCCAGAAGCACAACTCTTCATCGTAGAAGCCAAATAGGAAATACACACCGGAACAACTGCATAGATACATCTGGCCGATTCTGGGCACTACATTTTCTTGTAGGAAGCAAAGCCCTGGAGCTAACTGGAGCAGGTTTTTCGCGAAGGACCATCAATAGCAAAACCGAGGTTTGGTATCTACAAACATATAGGAAAAAGAATGTAAGAAAAGAATGCAGTTCGGCTATTTGATTTGAGGCAAATAGTAAAAGCCCTGTTAACATAATTCGATGAATAGACTGTTCGGTCAATACCACCATGCACTTCTGACTAAGTGAGTGGTATGATCTGTATTGAGTGAAAAGCGAAAACAATACAAGACCTTTGAATGCAATTGGTTTTCAACCACTAAGAATTTTTTACCTTCGTTGTGCATGAAAGTGGCAATAGCTAGATTTGTCAAATATCTTTTCTGGTACATACTATGTTGAGCTCATTTATCTTTCTGTGCAGTGGTTGAGTGGTTGTAGACCGAATGAAGGCCATACTCCAAAGATCAGGGACAATTTTGCGCCCTACAAAAATCAGTAACCTCAGTAGCAGGGACAAAACCAACTTTGAGTTTTGACATAAGAAAGCAAGTCGAACAATTTATAGAGATATTAGGTAAGGTGCAGGCCGTTGCCTAATTGTCGATGTAAATGCTAAAGGAATTGGCGGGGTTAGCTTGTAGTCTTGCGTAGATACGCCACGATTGTTGTTATATCCACTAAATGTAGATGGGATAGTCAGGTCAGCTAGTTTCTTTGCTGCACACAGCGTGGTTCAATGCAATGCCTAAAACATAGGTTTGAAAGGGGATTTTTTTTAAAACAGCATAGAATCCTTAAACCTGTATAAGTAGCACTGATGAAATGACTCTTAAATTATTGTTGTACGCAAACCCAAAATATGCATCGAGCATTCATATACACAGGACTACCTATATTGTTGGCCTGCAAGTTCTGATAATCAAAGTGGTCGTGAATTCATGGTAACCTCTGATGGCAAAAAAAAAAAAGGGAAGAAAAATATGATTACGGTAAATATTTTATCCTTGCACAACATCTTGTAATATCTTCAATTTCGAATTTAACCATCTAGGACTCTGTCTGGTACCCTAATGCTGCAACGAAATAATAGAATCTATGGAATCTTTTCTTCAAAAAAGATAGTATGATGTCATGAAAATAAAGCAGTAAGAACTGCATACAGGGCAACATGGCAACACATGGGAAGGGCATAAATAGACTAAAAAAAATGAAGCGGAGCAGTTATATGGAGGTCGCGGTATGAGTGGCGATTTACCTTTTTAGATGTAGATATAATCTATAGCCAGCAACAATCAGCAACGTCAAGCTGGAAGCATAGGAGCCTGTTGTTGCTGTTGAGATGGGCATAATATAAGGATACATGTTAATTTCATACATGTAAGACACTGCATAACTAAATAGTAGCAAGATTGTTGGGTGGCACCACAAAGTAGAGGTAAACAGGGTAGCAGGACGCCATATAGCACAGAAAAGCATCGTAAACACATATAACACAATTGTTTGGGAAGTTCCACAGGACATCTTTATCTTTTGTGTTTCATGCATCTTTAAATTTGGAGCTGTAAATGACTGTAATTTAAAGTCCCTACGATCGCCTGATGTATAGTTTAAGGGGCCTGGAACATAGATATAAATCCATCTTCGAAATGTTGACGAACAAAAAACACATATATTGCTATTGATTATGACTACGGCATGAAAGAAATTGAACTAAATGCACAATATAGTTTCTTATAGAAGCAGAAACAATAGAGGGGATGGACAATGGCAAGAGGAATCTGTCCTGTACCCCCAATAGGCTGCTAAAGGATTCAAGAAAATTTTGTGTGCACCGCAAGAACAGAAATTATATATCATGTACCATACCATGAGAAGGTTTTTATGTTGAACAGTCGGCATGATCTTCAGGTGTAGAAGCCAACTGCAGGCAAAAAAGCAATAGCAAGATAGCAGTCAGCAGATAAGCGAAGCATAAAGGGGTGTCATGTGTTTTAGATGAGAGCACTTACCTATATATGGACTCTGAATTGTCCCCAAGCTTGCAGGGATAGGCGGAGAAGGCACAGTGCTGCAATAGGCATGAAAGGGCAAACCCTAGAATAGGAAACCAATTAATTTACCTAATCCAACTATGCATACACAGTCATCAGGAGGGCGAAACCATATGTAGGAGCTCAGCACTGCGAAACGGAGAAAGACGGCGAGGGGACGAAAGCGGCATGGCTCGGCCCGGCGCACAGCCTAGCACGCACGGCCAGCATGGGCAGCCCGATGGCCGCCCGGTCGGGGGTGCGCAGCAGAGGGATCAGGGGGTGGCACCGGAGGAATCGCCGAGGGAGAGGGCTCGAAGTTATCTGGAGGAAGAGCGCAGAGGGAGGCCAGGAGAGGGTGCCGGGAGGAAGAAGGCTGCGACCTCGGAGGAGAAGTGGCGCGGCCGGTGGCCGGCAGCGCGCGCCCACTGCTGCGACCGCGCATGGCAGGGATCCGGCCATGTTGGGGCCCGTGGGCGCGCCGGCAGGATGGACGCGGGTGTTGGCGAGGAAGACGAAGACACAGCTGGGCCTCCCGAGCGTTGGGGGTCATCCGCAGGCGCAGCAAGGGCGGAGGTGGAGCGGGCGCAGTGTCGGAACAGGCGATGGGTAAGGGCGGCGCTGGGGGAGGAGGAGGCGGAGGGAGCAAGGTGCGGGTCGATGGGGATTGAGATGGTAATTATTTGGATCGGTACCATTACAGTTATCAGAACTTTAAGGTGTAACATTAAAATTCATCTATTTTGATATCTACCATTATAATTCATCGTTTCACTGAGTTTTGCCATTTTCTACGTCTTCCAGCTGCTTGGGCCCACTAACAGTCATATGCGCACTGTTCTCTTTTCTGTATGGACGATTTTGTCCCCGTCCAAAGATGAAAGAGCCCTGCGCTGCGCCCGTGGCCCCATCTTTCAGTCTCTTATCCTCCTCGCGCTCACTCTGTCTCTCACTCTCTCGTCCTCCCAATGCGACGATGGCGGGGGAACCCTAACCCTAGCCGCCGGCGTCCTGGAGCCCGTGCTCGAGTCAGCCGCCGCCGCCGGCCAACACCACTGCCGCCCACGCCCGAGCTGTCCTCCCGTGGCCCCATCTCTTGGCTGTAGACTATGCTCCATGGCTACGCCTAGCTTTTGAAGCCATGGCCGGGCAGTGGACTGGAATCCCGATGAAGGTACCTTCCACGGGCTCGAGCGCGACGGGCAGCGGCAGAAGGGAGTGCCCTTATTGCCATGTTCCTTTGGTCCGGATCCAGAGCAAGCAGCCGGCGACAAAGGGCCAGTGGTTTCTCACGTGCCCGTACAACATTAAGGTTAGGATTCTTGACATTGTTGACCTCACTGTGTCTCTTGTTGCTACTCTGATTGATGCTTTTTTGTGTGCAGGGTGATCATACTACCTGCGGCTTCATCTGCTCTAAGTTGCAGATTGAGGCCTTGGAAGCAAAGGAACGCCGGTTGTAGACTAGTAATGAGACATCAGCTGACTGTTATTTTGAGTTGAAGGAAGAATTGCAAGAGTTGAAGCAAATTGTGGATAGTGTTGTAGCTGATCTGTGGAAACTGAAGGTCCAACCTGCTGAGCCGAAGCCTGAGCTGGACACGAAGAAATGCCATATTGTGCTTGATTGTTCAGTTGTATCGCTAATTTTTTTAGCTTTGTAGGTGTCCTGATTGATGCATTTGTTGTTGCTGTCATGTGGAAGTGAACAACTAGAATGTGTGTTAGTCAGCTAATGTAAGTGTGGGTTGGTTGTGTTGGAGCTGTGGCTCCCTGTTTCTTTTGTGTACTGATGAGGTCCAAACCTTCTGATTAAGTTACAAATCTGTGGTTAGCTTCCAGCGAGCTCAACTTGATCTGTGGTAGCTTAACTTGATCTGTGGTCGCCATGTTTGAGCAAAGCCTGTGTTCATCTTTTCAGTGTTCAACAGCTTTAGATGTAACTGTTAACAAAAAATGAATAAATGTCAATGCTGGTTACAGACTACATATTAAATTGTTGATGTATGGGTACAGATCTTACATGTAGAGATGTAACAAGTGTAACAATGCATTATGGATGTTACACTAAGCTCTACACCGACGCAGCAATTGCCCCTGATCAAGCTAATCAGCACATGAGGAAAGCCGACCTTGGTGTTTTCATCCTGGAACCTAGGAGAAAACATATGATTCACATCAAAGTAATTGCTACTGCTAACTCAGTCATTATGGCGGATGTAGATCCAAGATGTCTTCTTCCTTACTACAAGGTTCTAGGATTCTAACACTTAAACCAGTGACCTGTGGCAAAGAGGAATGCCAACACTTAAACCAGTAGCACAGGACTCAGCACCAAGCACAGTTCAACACTTAAACCCAACTACAAGGTTCTAGGATTCTAACACTTAAATCAAGGTTCAACACTTAAATCAACATAACAGCATACCAGTAGCAGCATACCAGGTTCAATTGCTGATCTTACAACCATACAAGGTTCCAGCATACCAGGTTCACAACCATACAAGGTTCCAACATTCTAACTACAAGGTTCTAGGAATCCAACTACAATGTTACACAAAAGCATATCATAAACTACAACAAGGTTCAACTGCTGATCTTACAAAAGCATACCAGTAGCAGCATATAAGTTCTCTTTTTATTACAAAAGCATATCATAAGCTGCTGACAAGCTCTAGTCTTCATAGACTAGCCTCCTAAGGCTACTAACAACAGTAGTAGGTGGGTCGGCTGTTGCAATTCTCAAAGGGTTATTTGGATTGGTACCATTATAATTCTCAGAACTTTGAGATATACCATTAAAATTCATCTATTTTGAGATCTACCATTATAATTCATCGTTTCACTAAGTTTCACCATTTTCTACGTCTTCTAGCTGCTTGGGCCCACAGGCAGTCGTATGCGCGCTGTTCTCTTTTCTGTATGGATGATTTTGCCCCCGTCCAAAGATGAAAGAGCCCTGCTTTGCGCCCGTGGCCCCATCTCTCAGTCCCTTCTCCTCCTCACACTCACTCTATCTCTCACTCTCTCGTCCTCCCGACGTGGCGACGGTGGAGGAACCCTAACCCTAGTCGTCGACGTCCTGGAGCCCGCGCTTGCACCCGAGTCAGCTGCCGCCGCCGGCCAACTCCACTGTCGCATGCGCTCGAGCTGTCCTCCCGGATCCCGAACGATTGGAGCCTCTCCAGCGACCTCACGATGGTGTTCCATTGAGCGCAATGGCTGACCCTGCGGACATGGAGCACGGCGAGGAGAGGTATGGATCTCCAACCTTCAATCTCTTGAGTCTGAGTAGCGATGCGAGTAGGTCGAGGGATTGCGCTGACCCTAGTGTATTTATTTGTGAATTGTTTGTTTGCTGCTAGGGTTGGGTTGTTCTCCTTAGAGATTAAAGTTGAAGGTTTTTGTACTACAGACAGTAATGGTAGGAAAGCTTACACGAAGGGTAGTGTGATTAAATGGGATGTGGAGGTAGGATCGTTCACTTTCGAGTTGCTGATGCAAAGCTTGATCAATCAGTTCAAAAGGTCCCCTACCTAGAGTCCTTGTGTGTGGTTCTTTGACAAAAGGATGTGTGAAGACATCAGACTAGTTAATGACTTCCAGCTGAATGATGTGTTTGAAATGTATAAGGATCAAATGCATTGCCAACTTGTTGTAGGAGTTTTTGAAAGAAAGTTGCAGATGTTGATGAGTTTGCTACCCTAGAGCCTCTTTGTGTGATTCCTCCTGTTGAGCATGAGAATCCTAGTCCAGATCCCAATAGGCATGAGAATCCTATTCCAGATCCTGCTGAACAACCTAATCCTCCTATTAGCCCTGCTACCAAGCCTACTGCTGAGCCAGATGAAGGACCAGAGTATCCTTTAGAGCCTGAACTAGAGCCAGACAGGGAGCCAGACATGTTTGATAATGAGGAGGAGTATGTGGGTGTTGATGATGAGGGAATGTACATGCCAGTACCTCCTCATCAGTACACTAACAATGCATAGGCTGCTAACAGTTCTCACCCACAACCATATGCTAATGCTGATGCAAATGATTGTGGTGCTGCTGAAGGAGGTGTTCCTCTTGAGGCAGAGATTGATGATGCAGATCCACAGGAGGTCCATGTGATTCATGATCCAGAAAACCCCAAGATTGTGAAAGGAGGGCTCTTTCCTGATATTGTTGCATTCAGGAAGGCAATTAGGCATTATGCAGTGAAGACATGCTTTGAGTTTGCTGGTCTGCAAACTGACCCTACTAGATTTATTGCCAAGTGTAAAGCAAAGGGATATCCTTGGCGTATACATGCTTCTAGAAATTCTTATGGCAAGACAATAGATGTAAATTTGTCATTACTGTTGGAGTTGTTTATTAAATTTGTTATTTATGCAACTAATGTCCTATTGCATTTGTTTGTGTAGATCGAAAGGCTACCTTTTGAACACAACTGTCCTACCACAAAACTCAGAGAAGGGAAGATGGCCACCAAAGGTTGGTGTGTAGATAGGTTGGCAGACTGGCTGAAGAAGAATCCAACCAAAGGTGCAACTGAGTGCACGGACAAATTGGAGGGTGACTATGGCATTAAGATGAAATACTCCAAGGCATGATCAGGTATGAAGGTAGTTTTAGAGCAGATCCATGGTAAATATGAGGAGAGTTTTCAGTTGCTTTTCAATTGGAAAGCTCAAATTGAGAAAGTATCCCCTAGTAGCTTAGTAGAGATAGAGTTAGAGAAGATTGGCACCAAAAACATATTCAAGAGGATGTTTGTTGCTCTTAGACCATGTGTGGATGGATTCTTATCTGGTTACAGACCTTTTATTGGGGTAGATGCTTCCTGTTTGCATGGTAAATACAGGGGCCAGTTAGCTTCAGCTACTAGTGTGGATAGACACAATTGGTTGTACCATATAGCTTATGCAATTTTTGAGTCAGAAACTAAAGATAATTGGAAATGGTTTCTACAGCAGCTGCATAAGGTTGTAGGAGATGTTCCAAATCTGGTTATATGTATAGATGCATGTAAAGGACTAGAGACTGCAGTGGGGTCTGTCTTCCCATAAGCTGAAAACAGGGAGTGCATGAGGCATTTGTATCAGAATTTTTTTAAGAAGTATTCTGGTGAGGTGTTCATTGATCACTTGTACCCTGCAGCTAGAAGCTACACACAAGGGCTATTTTAGTGGCACATGAAGAAATTTTTTGAGTTTGCACCTGAAGCCATTGAGTACCTTGAGGAGCACCACAACAGGATCTGGTACAAGTGTGCATTTTTAGAAAACATCAAGTGTGACTACTTGACAAATAATGTTTCAGAGAGCTTCAATGCACAAATAAAGAAGTTCAAAGGTCTGCTACTGCATGAATTAGTTGACAGAATCAGAGAGCTGATCATGGAGAAGAGATTGTTGACACAAAATGTGACGCCTTTGCACTTTTTACCTGACAAGTCGAAAAGCGTAGCTTCAATCGGTGCCGGGTGCTTCGTGATCCGGACGTGCGGTCGGTTTGACTGAAAAAAACCGACAAGGGATAAAACAGTTAAATGTCAAACCGGAACATGTCGGGTGAGACCCGAATAGTTCCGTATATATACGACCCCGAAGCCACTTACAAACGACATACAGACTATAGGAAGTCATGCGCCAACAAGTTTATAAATCATTCGACTAATCGTAGGATGGACATACGTAAAGATCTGATTGCCGAATGCATATGCATGGGAAGACATGTTTGAACAAGTGAAATTGATTATGCGTTAATGCATATCCAAGCTCGACAATCCAAATAGGAGTTGGGGTCCATGAAGAAGGAACGTGTAGATAAACACGATTAAGCCAATCTAAAACCTGCGTCTGCCGCACGACACCTAGTTTCGTCAAAAACTTAAACGTGATTAACATACATGAACCCACAACATGTGACAATCTAGATTAAAATAATTCAGCCATTACGAGCATGTTATCTATTTGCAAAGGTATTATGAAAGTAATGATCATTGAAGCTCGAATAAAACCATAGAAGAGGGCCGAACAATATCCATCTAGATTGGGCAAAAGTGTGCTACAAATATATAAAATATTTAAAACATGCAACACAGGATAACTTGATGAATCTATTTAGATTTTGCCGTAATCTAATAGAGCCGATAACTGTCTTGCTTCCACTAAGCATATTGAGCAAACGCCTGCCGCACGGTATCTACTCATAAACAAAGTATAAGCAAAGACTTCTTGATTGTCAAGCAAAGATCCGCCGCATACGATCATTGAAAACAAACAAGACTACTTGCATCACGTCTAAATCCACCGCATGATACTAAACATGATAACAAGGTTGTCCGGAACTTACGGAGGTCGACGGATCGATGACTCCTCTCGAAGAACTCGACGACACGACAAAAGGACTCGAAAGTTGGCACGGGGGCGGTTGTATTGATTTGGTTGTGACGCCTATTACAATGGTCGAGGGTCAATATTTATACCCTAGACGAAACACGAGTCCTAAAGACTACGATTTACAAAGGAACTCTTAAACAAACTTGGAAACTACGATTCCTTGCCCCAAACTCTCGAGTCCTTTATTATTACAACTTTCATCTTTTCGATCGGCTTTGCTTGCCATCTTCGCTTTCCCGAATGGAGTCACCACCTTACGAAGTAACCGACCGCAC